GCCAGGAGCGGCCACTGCACTCCAGTCTGGGTGACAGAGTGAGACTCCAACTCAAAAAAAAAAGAAAGAAAGAATTGCCAAGAAAAAAATTCACTGAAGCTGAACACAGCCTCTCACGACAACATTGACTGGCACAACATGAGGGGAGAGACCTGTACCACAAGGGGGCCCTGCCCTTCAAAAGATAATTCCGGGGTTGGTTTTTTTTTTGGGGGGGTCTCCCCTCATACATATGTACAGATACGAACATGCATGTGCCTGTACACACACACACACACACACACACACACACACACACACACACACACATATATATACTTGTGCTTGTGTGTGTATTTCTCTCAGGAAAATATGAAAGGACCAGCATCTTAGCTTTAATTCTTATTTCACTTCTCTGTTTGACTTCAAGAAGTTTTTAAGTTCCTGATGACATCACACCCCAAGTAGAGACAATTCTGCTCTTGAGTAAAGCATAAGAACCCCTCAAACAGACTCACAGAGGTGATTAAACCTAGAGTGCAGACAGAGCCCTCTTAATTCCCATCTAACCCCTGTCCACATTCCTGCAGCCCTCCTAAGGACCTCCTGGCATTTCTCTGTGGGGCAGATAGAGGAGAGAATAAGCCCTGTCCATCTCACCCGCATTTCCCAGCCCTGGTTTCCCTTTTCTAGCCATAGATGGAGGTCTTGAGGCCATGCGGACTTGGATGAAGACCCTTAGACTTTTCATGTTGGAAAAAGTCACCTCCCCTGTTGCTGGATACTGAACATTCTTCCCCATGTGGCAGGCTCTCCACAGAGAAGAGCAGCCTTGTGTTCCAGGTGCCATATTCTATGCCCATTGCCGGCCCAAGGCCAGGTGCCTCTAGCCACTCTGGTTGATAGCCTTAGGGTTCTAGGCCATAGACCATGCTGGAATGGAAGAATGAGGCAAAGATCTCATACAAAATGAGGCACAGATCTCATATTCTTAAGTATAAGAGGCATGCCATTATCTGAGGCCAGGTGCAGAAATCCTAGTGGCCCCTATACCCCAGGAATGTGATGACTATCAAGTGGAAATAGCTATGTGGATTCTCAAATCAGTGGGTAAGCCCATTCCCAGAGCTATCGGCCAAGAGGCTGGTTACCTTTCTATCATGTGATTACTTTTCAAGGTAGTGTTCAGATAGTCTATGGAGGAAGACTGCTCCAAGAGTAAGCATTACAGAGCTGGCCCAGCACGGTGGCTCACGCTTGTCATCCTAGCAATTTGAGAGGCTGAGGCGGGAGGACTGCTTGAAGCCAGGATTTTGAGACCTGCCTGGACAAAATGGAGAAACACTATTTCTAAACATTAAAAACAGCCAGCGCAGTGGCTCACACCTATAATCCCAGCCCTTTGGGAGGTGGAGATGAGAGGATTGCCTGAACTCAGGGGTTCAAGACTAGCCTGAGCAACATGGCGAGACCCCATCTCTACCATTTAAATTTAAAAAATTAACTGGGCATGGTGGCGCATGCCTGTGGTTCTAGCTACTTGGAAGGCTGAGGCAGAAGGATCATCTGTCCAGCAGGTCAAGGCTGCAGTGTCCATGAGCATGCCATTGCCCTCCAGCCTGGGTGACAGAGTGAGACTGACTCAAAAAGAAAAAAAAAATTAAAAACAAAAAATGTTTTAGAACCACAACCCCAGTACATGTGTCTGGAGCTCTGCTTCCAGGTCTAGATCCAAGAGAGCAAGTGGGTATCATCTCATCTGATTCGTTGGTTAGTGTTTCCTGGAGTACTTTGCCAAAGCGGTTGTGAGCTAACAGTGAGGCTTAGGGGTCAGGTGTGCAGCACTTGATTACTGCTGCCTGCTGTGGGTATGGGAGAAGGAGCTTACGGATTGCCTGCTGTCTCTCCTGTAGCTGCTGTTTGGGGATCAAACAGCCATGCAAATCCCTGATAACCCCTTGCTGTGCCCTTACACTCTACAAATTCATAGCAAGATGTGTGCTTGAGGCCGAATGTGGGTCTTCATGGAGATTTGATCCTGATTGACTTGAGATAAATGTGTAGTCAGTTATTTTTTTTAAACACATTTTTTATTTTAAAATTGTGGGGTACATTTAAGGGTAAGGTATAGAAATATGCATCGTTCAGGCACCCTTTTTGATAAGGGCTATCCCCCCATCCCCAGACAGATATTGACCATTAATCCCACCTCCCTTCCCCTCCCTGTCCCCCCCCATAGTTTCCCGCCACTGTCAATCCCTTTCTTATAGTATTATGATAGTTGTTCAAGGTCCACTTATGAGTGAGAATATGTGATACTCAGATCTTTGTTTCTGTGAGAGATCACTCAGTATTACAAACTCTAGTTCCATCCAGGTTGCTGTTAAGGAATCACGGTCTTTACTTCCTCTGGGCTGTGATGTCATCACCCTCACCTCCTCTGCCGTCTACTAAGATAGAGCACTTGCCCGGCTCTCTAATTTCAAGATGTGCCATTTCAAGGGACTCGAGCTGCCAGGAAGATGCCCCTGTGTTTTTGCTATCAAATTTTACTTTCCATGAATATTCAGCTCTGGGAAGCACTCTTTCCACTATAATCTGTTCTCTCTCTTCCTTGGCCCGAGTTAATTATGGCCTTTATTTTAGATTGTATGACAATTAAGTTTGTGAACTCATCCTAGAAAAAGTGCTACACACCTCATTGCTGGATATCACAACAGTCACCTCCCATTAGATTCCCCTTGGGAAGTTATGCACCAGCGCTGGCCACCTAGTCAACCCATCAAAGCAATTTTGGAACTTTCTCTGGAATGGCCATCAGAGCCGTCGTTGTATTACCCTTGATGTCCTGAATGTCATCAAATGTCTTCCTTTCAATATCTCCATTATTTGGGGGTAAAGAAAAAAGTCATTGGAGACCAGAGCAGGTGAGTAAGGAGGGTGTTCCACTGTGTTATTTGTACAGTGCGGCCAACGTAAGTGCACAGTGGCAAGTTTGCAAACTTAATTTTCTGACCTCAGCAAATAAGGACGACAGCTCTGATGGCCCTTCCAGAAAAAGAGTTCCAAAACTGCTTTGACGGGTGGACTAGTTGATAGCGCTGGTGCAAAACTTCCCAAGGGGAGAACTTCAAAGGTGACTGTAGTGACATTCAGCAGTGAGGTATGTAGTACTCCTGCTCGGATGGTTCACGAACCTAATTGTTGGACCTCGTATACGCTTCTGAGTTAACCTGAGTGTGAATGCCACCTGATTTGTAAAACTAGGAGCTGGGTTTAGTTTGAGGCTCTGTCTCCCAGTGCTCACCTGGTGGATTCGCTCATTGATCACACAGGTCCTCCTGCAAGGCTGCCGGAGTGTGGAGCTGGACTGCTGGGATGGAGATGACGGGATGCCCATCATTTATCACGGACATACGCTGACAACCAAGATCCCCTTCAAGGCAAGCCTGCACAGCTTTCCTTAAATCACATCACACAGAAGCATTGTCTTCATTTTTCGTTTAAGTCAGTGATTCTTCCGGATGATACCTTAGGTCATAGGTCCTTATGCTGGGTCTGAATGAAGACTTTCCAAAAGTATCTACAGTATCACATGGAGTGTGCACACATTCATTTTTCTGAGAGTTGATTTAGAACTCTCACATTAGCATCCCATTTAACCTAAGTTAGTAATCATTACCTTGTATTAGTTAGCATGTCATAATAGTGTTGCCATTTTTACATGATATGATCACATATAAAGACTGAGACTGTTCTCTTGCCGTAGGAGTTGAAGGTCATTTGTCCTGGTGTCATGCTGATAAAAGCCAACATCACTAGTTAGGAGTTGATTAAATAATTAACATTATAAAGCCAGGCGTGGTAGCTCAAGCCTGTAATCCCAGCACTTCGGGAGGCTGAGGCAGGAGGATTGCTCCAGGACAAGAGTTTGAGACCAGCCTGGGCAACAAAGTAAGATCCCACATCTACAAAAAATAGAAAAAGTAGCTGGGTGTGGCGGCACATGCCTGTAGTCCCAGCTACTCAGGAGACTGAGACAGGAGGACCACTTGAGCCAGGAATTCAAGGCTGTGATAAGTTGTGATTATGCCACTGCACTCCAGCCTGGGCAATAGAGTGAAACTCTACCTCAAAAAATATATTTATTTATTTTTAAAGTAATTAACATAATATAGCTATAAGAATCATTTCTCTCTGGGAAGATTGATCACCCAGGAAGACTAGTCTCATTGCATTGGATTATTGTTTCCAATTCTGGGTGATGTATTTGTTCAGTTGTACAATTACTATCCTCGTTCAGAGGGTCATAGATAGTGTAACATTTTTCTCTGAACTGTGGCCATCCTGGAAAGGCATATTATTACTTTCATCTTATATGCAGAGAAAATAGCTAAAATGCATCTTCTCTTTAACCTCAGATTGCTATTCAGCACTCTTAAAACTCCTGTGGTCTCTATATTGATGGGAAGATGAGTTGATAACTGTGTTTACATACACACATAAATACATGTGACATATGTCTCATTGCCCCAAATAAAGTATAAACGCCTTGAAAAAAGGAAAGTAGCTTATGCCTCATTGTGTTTAATGCTATAACAATTTTTTACCTACAATATACTCTATGTATGTGTAAGAAGGAGTACCCCCAAAAAACAGAATTATTTTTTGGCAGGCAAGCCCCTTGTACAGGCTTTCCCCACTAGGTAGGTGTTGTAGAAACCCATTGGCATCAGTGGACTAGCTAGCATGGTTGTGAGAGGCTGCTTTTGGCTTCAGTGAATTTGTTTGGAGAGTCTTTCAACATGAGCGCCCATTTCCTGATGGGTGATTAAGAGCAACCCTGCCCACACCACGCTGAGTGTTCAGCAGTTTTTGACCACAAGTGGCATGGTCCCAGGACCCTACCCTCCCTATTCATCTGATCTTGTCCCAAGTGACTTTGCTTTCCTGCATGAAAAACGTCCTCAAAAGACAATGTTTTGCTGATATGGAAGAGGTGAAACAAAAAAAAATGGCAGAAACACTAAAAGGCTTCAAAGTGAATGAGTTCAACAACTGTTTTGAGCGGTGGAAAAAGCGTCTCGATAGGTGTATTGCATCCAACAGAGAGGACTTCAAAGGTGACTGAAGTTTAAACATGTCAGAATAAATACACAATTTTTTATAAATAAATTCCATTTTGGGGGGCTCCCCCCATATTGATTTTCTAAACTCAACATAGCGAAAGCCATTCTTTGTAGTATGTGATCAAGGACTTGATATCAAGAGTTTACTGTCTTTTTACAAAATAGTCTTATCCTCTTGGTTCATTTGAAAATACACTTGAACTTGAAAAGTTAAACACCACCTTTGGCCAGAGTCTGCTGCATGCCGCCGTTGAGACACTTTGTATGGCTAGAAGTGCCTTGCCTTGTGACCTATTTCCCACGCCTCGATAGATATCGGGTTCTGATGGGCGGTTTGGCTCTCCTAGGAAGTCGTTGAAGCCATTGATCGCAGTGCCTTCATCAACTCTGACCTGCCAATCATCATATCCATCGAGAACCACTGTTCATTGCCTCAACAACGAAAAATGGCGGAAATTTTCAAGGTGAGCTCTCAACTAAGAGGCAGGATGGTGTGCTGGCCTTTGTCTTGCAATTGTCTTTGAGTGTTGCCTGAGGCCTCTGCAGACCACACCACAGCCGGGCCTTGGCCATGTAGCAAATACAGTGAGGGTTCTCCCAGACCTGAAAAACGGGGCAGCGGTGGGAGTCTGGACCCTCTTTGGAATGGTCCCTCTTTTCCGCGGGAGTCAGGGATGCGGGGATGTCACCGGTCAGTTGTACGTGGAAACATAAAAACGGGGCAAGTCGGTGTGATGATGTGGCCCACATTACAGCACAAGGATCCAAGTTAGCAAAGAGCTTAGATTGGCCAGAACAGCAGAGTTGTTGACGGTCAGCCCATAGATGGTGTGGGGTGGCTCATGTGTGTAATCCCAGCACTTTGAGAGGCTGAGGCAGGAGGATTGCTTGAGCCCAGGAGGTCAAGGCGGTAGTAAATCATGATCATTCAACCTGGATGACAGAGGGAGACTCTGTCTCAAAAAAAAAAAAAAAAAGGCAGCCCTTCTTTATATAAGAGAACTATAATGTAGACTGGTTTATGAGCAAATATTCATGATACTTCTTCCTCCAATGGTGGAGACATTTGTGGAAACAGGACTCGTCCCCAGATACTAATGGCTGCAAAACAAATCAGCCTTAACTGGGCTCGGTGGCTCAGCCTGTAACCCCGCGCCTTTGGGAGGCTGAGGTGAGTGGATTGCCTGAGCCCGCGGGTTCGAGACCCGCCTGGGCAGCGAGACCTCATCTCTACAATAAATCAAAAAATCAGCCGGGCATGGTAGCGCATGCCTGTAATTCTGGCTACTCGGAAGGCTGAGGTGGAAGGATCACCGGAGCCCAGCAGGTGGAGGCTGCGACCACTGCACTCCTGTCTGGGCAAGCGAGTGAGACTCCAACTCAAAAAAAAAAAAAAACGAATCAGGCTTTCGTATTGCCTTGGCCTAGGATTTGACTTTTTTTAAATCAAAAAAATGACTGGAAATAGAAATAGTCATATTTCCTACTTTCACCAGTGGATCACGCTGTGTCTCCTCTCCCTTCCCCCACCTCCTTGAGAGACACACATTCTGTTTGGTAGATCAAGGATCAAAATCTCCATGATAATTATGTCTGCCATTCTTTATATGATGTGGGACAACTTCTCCCTGTCATCTTTCCTCGCTCTCTGCCCCTTCCAAGATCTCTATTCTTTCATCTTCTTATCTTCATTCAGAACAGACCCGATTCTACAAACCACAGCTTCTAACTGAATCTCTGTCTTCTTCTTCCTTCTCCTCTTCCTTTTTTCCCTCCATCTCTTTGGAGTCAGAGACTCACTCTGTGGCCCAGGTGGGAGTGCAGTGGCCTGGTCATGGCTCACAGCAGCCTCGACCTCCCGGGCTCAGGGCATCCCATGTTCCTGGGACTACAGGCATGCGCCACTATACCCGGGTAATTTTTGTTTGTTTGTTTGTTTTTAATAGAGACGAGATCTCATTATGTTGCATAGGCTAGCCTAGAACTCCTAAGCTCAAGCTATCCTCCCGCCCTGACCTCCCAAAGTGCTGGGACTGCAGGTGTGAGCCATCATGCCTGGCTGTTTTTCTTTAACTCTTTAGACCCCAGAACATTTTCCTAAATATTTAGCTCTGACTACAGCTGCAGAGTGGCCTAGATCTCTCCTCCAGTGCTAATTCCTCTTCCTTAAATTTTTAAAACAATTCAACCAGGCTGAAAAATCTACTATATTTATGAAGTATAAATATATTTACCAGGTATAAGCAAAAGGCATTGATTGTGTGTTTCCCTCTATTCTTTCTAGACTGTGTTTGGAGAAAAACTGGTGGCCAAATTCTTATTTGAGACTGATTTCTCAGATGATCCAATGCTTCCCTCTCCTGACCAACTTAGGAGGAAAGTACTTCTTAAAAACAAGAAGCTAAAAGCCCACCAGACGCCTGTGGATATCTTAAAGCAAAAGGTACTCCCCTCTTGTTAAACAGGTGGTGAACAGGCTGTGTGCTTTGAATGAAGAAATGAATGTCATTCCGACCTTTCAGATGACCTGCCCAGTCACTTGTTTTTGAGTGTTGAGTTTCCTTAAATGATAAAGTTGACTTGTGACTTTTCATTTCAGAGACCAATAGAACATCCCACTCACCTAAAATGGAATTTGTGGAATTGTTCCCGCATAGAATGTACCTCCATAACTTAATGTGGTCTGAGTGGGATGATATGTGACTCTTTTGTCTGGAATGAGCTTCAAGGTGGTCATTCTCACAGCGGCTGCTATAGTCCCCTTTGGGGAGTGCCCCTGGGGTGGGGGAGTGCTTGGCGGGCATCTGTAGTGGAAGCCCAGCAGCAGGAGTCTTGTGACTCCAGTATATCACCAAGGTCCTCCCACTCCTGTCTCACGAATAGAGATCTGGGCCCAAGGGCCCTCGGCCCAAGGATATGAGAAGAAGTTCAGGTGCAGGACGCTGAGTCCAATTGCCAGGCTGCACCTACTTATCCCACAGAATGACAGCTGGCAAAACTATGTGTCCTGCTGAGGAGAGCACGGTCAGCTCTGAAACATTGCTGTTGAAACTAGCTGATCGTAGACTTGTTCTCAGGCCAGCCTATTTGTAAGAGATCATGTGCACATGGACGCTGAAGGTCTAGATGTTCATTCCCTTAAAAACAGTTGCAGCCAGACGTGGTGACTCATGCCTGTAATCCCAGCACTATGAGAGGCCGAGATGAGAGGATTGCTTGACCAGGAGTTTGAGACCTGCCTGGGCAACATAGCGAGATCCCATCTCTAATTATAAATATATTTTTAAATGATAGATTTATAAACTTAAAAGTACAAAAATTATTTTTAAAAAACATCTGAGCCTTCATGTCCCCAGAAGTCTTTGTGTACTCTGAAGGTATTCATTACCCAATTTAAAGATTGTGCACAACCCTAGGCCAAGAGCTGCAAAATCAGCCAACGTCAGGGTATCAAGCAGGAGACATTCATGAGGAGTCAACTGAATACAGGGCGGCTGGAAGTGGTGAGGATACTAGTGGTGGGTGCATGCCCCATAGATGAACAGCTCTAATTAAATTATTTTAAAACATCGCACCAGCCAAATGGTCGGGAGGTGAAGTTGGTCCCGAGGACCACCAGTTTGAGATCTCCGCTGGATCTTTTTTTGCCCAGATCTGCACACTCAACGCTGCTCCAGGAGACCCGGCCTCTGCTTGGTTTCCAGAGGCCATGAGACCTATGCTGATGGGCCTTGTCATGACGTTGATTAACTAAAACGTTGGCATGTGTACTCCAACTGGCCTTCCTCAATGCTGCATCGGTGACTGACACCCTCAGCAGGGGGCGCTTTTCCTCCCAGAGTGAACTCCTCCAGGCTGGTGTTTTTTGGCTTTTTTTTTTTAATTAGAGTCTCACTCTATCACCCAGGCTGGATTGCAGTGGCATGCTCACAGTCACCCCAGTGTCGACCTGCTGGGCTCCAGCGATCCTTCCGCCTCAGCCTTCCAGTAGCTGGAACTACAGGCGTGCACCACCACGCCCGGCTAATTTTTTGATTTATTGTAGAGATGAGATCTCGCCAAATTGCCCAGGCTGGTCTCGAACCTGTGGGCTCAGACAATTCCCTCAACTCGGTCTCCCAAAGTGCTAGGATTACAGGCTTCAGCCACCACGCCCCGGTCCAGGCTGTTTTTCTTTATGCAACAGCTCCTGCCCACTCCCCACTGCCAGGCAGATAGAGCTGCTAAACACCCATCCCTCCACGGTCTTCAAGGTATGTTGGAAGGTTCTCGCCCTTCCCATCCTTCACTGATCATTTGCAGTTATTTATGAGGCTCCCTAGTGAATGGACCATGTTGTTATAAGAGTCTAAATCTTCCTTCCTCTTCCTCCTAATCATTGGTCCACCATCTTCTTTCTGCAGCTATGCAGACTAATTTCTTATTTGGAAAGGTTTCGCGTTGCCTCAACACCTTTCCTCTTCTCCAAGCTAAAATCTCTTGTTGTGTCAACCATTCCTCATAGAATATCGTTGCTAAGGCTCTTCAATTTTTTTTTTTTTTTTGAGTTGAAGTCTCATTCTGTCATCCAGGCTGGAAGGCAGTGGCATGCTCCTGGCCACCACAGCCTCAACCTGCTGGGCTCAAGTGATTCTTCTGCCTCAGCCTTCCAGGTAGCTGCAACTACAGGCACGCGCCACCACGTCCGATTAATTTTTTTCATTTATTGTAAATGAGGTCTCGCCAAGTTGCCCAGACTGGTCATGAACCCATGGGCTCAGGCAATCCTCTTACCTTGGCCTCCCAAAGTGCTGGGATTATAAGCATGAGCCACTGCACCCAGCCTTCAATTTTTTTAAAGACTATCTTTGTTATTCTTACATTTGTGGATATTCTTGAATTTATTAATTTCCAGAACTAAGTCAGTACTCTAGATGAGATCGAACTGCACAAGAACAATGAAGCCATCACCTGTCTTAATTAGAACTTTAAAAACTTTGTCTAATGCAGCTGCAGGCTACTTTCTTTTTAAAAAGTAATTTAAAAGAAATAGTGGCAGACACTGGGCTCACATTGAGCTTGTAGAAAACAAAAACAACTCAGTTATTTTTATATAGAATGTCCTAGTCCAGTCTCCCCATTTTTCCAGGTTAGTAATAAATGTTAAACGTTTGTGTATGGAAGCCTCACATTTATTTCTATTAGATTTGCTCTTCTTGGTTTTGGTGTGTTATTGAAGCTCCAGAATTCTTAGTGATTTTTGTTTCTGTCATCCTGTGCATGTATTAGCAGTTTTTCCAACTGTGTCTTTACCCCAAGTTGCCTTGGAGCCAGACAGTGAAGTAGAGAGGCCTGTGGCCTTTTTGAAAAAAACCTCTCTGGAGTTTGGGTGACAGTTTGTTGCTATTGGTGCTCTCCTCTCTTGCAGTCCACATTTTCCAGAATGTACTTCAACTTCCTTATATATGAAACAGAAGCCGGGCTCGGTGGCTCAGCCTGTAATCCCACGCCTTTGGGAGGCTGAGGTGAGTGGATTGCCTGAGGCGGGTTCGAGACCCGCCTGGGCAGCGAGACCTCATCTCTAAAATAAATCAAAAAGTCAGCTGGGCATGGTAGCGCATGCCTGTAATTCCGTCTACCTGGAAGGCTGAGGCGGAAGGATCGCCAGAGCCCAGCAGGTCGAGGCTGAGGTGGCCGGGAGCGGCCACTGCACTCCTGTCTGGGCAGCAGAGTGAGACTCCAACTCAAAAAAAAAAAAAAAAAAGAAAAAGAAACAGAAAATGGAAACCTGGCCATTTGTGTGACTTTTTCAAGGTCACCCAGCTTGTAGGGACAGAGTTCACTCCGATTCAGGTCTTCAGGAAAGATCTACAGAGGTCAGGATACACTGATAAGAACAATCACTAGAGCACTGTCGAAAACAGAGTCTTAGGTCACAAATCGGACTGACTAAAGCAGAATTTCCAGAATAAAGACCCAGAAATTCATTTACTTAAAAATAATTCTGGGAGTCGGGGAGACACCCCTTATCAACAAGGGTGCCTGAACGATGCATATTTGTATACCTAACCCTTAACTGTACCCCACAATTTTAAAATAAAAAATATTGATTTAAAAATAATAATAATAATAATAATTCTGGCCAGGCTCGGTGGCTCAGCCTGTAATCCCAGCACTTTGGGATCGAATGGATTGCCTGAGCCCATGGGTTCGAGACCAGCCTGGACAACTTGGGAGACCTCGTCTCTACAATAAATCTACAATAAATCAAAAATTATCATAGATGTGGTAGTGTACGCCTGTATTTCTGGCTACTTGGAAGGCTGAGGTGGAAGGATCGCCGGAACCCAGCAGGTCGATGCTGGAGTGACTATGAGTGTGCCACTGCACTCCAGCCCGGGTGACAGAGTGAGATGCCAACTCAAAAAATAATAATAGTAATAATAATAATTCTTATCATCCTGGAAGTTTGAGAAACACTGTTTATCTTCTGTTTTCCCCAAAGTGAATTACCTTATCCAAAAAAGCTAAGGAGTTTACTGTGTAGGAAACTTGTTCATAGTAGATCCATGCTGACACCTGCTCATCACCTCTTTATTTTCTAAGTTCTCACAAACTCACTAATTAATAATCCATCCTGAAATTTTGTCAGGTGTCACCTTGACACTGCCCACAGCATGATTTCTACAACTTATCTCCTCCTCATTTTGAAAATAATGGGACCGTGTAATCCCATTTCCGTGTTTTCAGACTGCTTGCAACCCCCGTGATGACTTCCCAGGGGATACCAGCAAAGATTCCACAATCATATCTGTGAGGCCTTTCAGTTGTCTGGCAGGTTGTGAATCTAGACTTAGCAATCTGCCCTCAAACAACAGATGAATGCCTGGAGCTCGTGTGGGCTCAGACCTAAGCCTAACTTAGAAGGTCCCGGCCATTTCCATCAGAGACCTCACCCTCAGCAAGGACAGACTGACTCAGAGCAGGATTTCTGAAGCCCTCCATCTGCCTCAGGCCTGTGCTGAGATTCTTACGGAGGCCTCCTAATATACCCCTCTAGAACAAACAGGGATTCTGACCTTCCTCTCCTAAACTTTCACCCGCTAGACTCAAATGGTTCTCACTAGATCAGCGGTCCCCAACCTTTTTGGTATCAGGGACTGGTTCCGTGGAAGACGATTTTTCCACACACTGGTGGCAGGGAGAATGGTTTGGGGATGATTCAAGTGTATAGCATTTATTGTGCACTTTATTTCTATTATTAATGCATTGTAATATATAATGAAAAAATTGTACAACTCACCATTAAAAAAAATAGGTGTGGGCAGAAAGTGGTAAATAAAATAATGGGTAGGCCACACAGGGGCTAAAATAAGTGTCGGATTCTGACTTAAGCCTGCCACCAGATGCAGCCGTACAACTGAAGTGAATCCATTAATCCGCTTTCCACCTGCCACTCACTGATAGGGTTTTGATATGAGTCTGCAAGCAAGTGATTTATGATGGTCTCTGTGCAGTCAAACCTCACTGCTCATGTTAATCTGTATTTGCAGCCATTCCCCAGAGCTACCATCACCGCCTCAGCTCCACCTCAGATCATCTGGCATTAGATTCTCATAAGGAGCACCCAACCTAGATCCCTCACATGTGCAGTTCTCAGTAGGGTTTGCGCTCCTATGAGAATCGAATGCTGCCTTTGTTTTGACAGAAGGCAGGGCTCAGGCAGTAATGCAAGCAATAGGAAGTGGCTGTAAATACAGCTGAAGTTTCTCTAGCCCACTGCTCACCTCCTGCTGTATGGCCCACTTCCTAACAGACCACAGATCAGTACTGATCCATGGCCGGGTACTGGGGACCCCTACACTAGATGACAGGCACTGTGCTAGGTCCTGGGGAGACAAAGAAGAGTAAGACAGGCCCCCTGCCCTAGCCCCATCAGAGCCAGTGTCCTCATCAGACCCCGAGCTCCAACTTCTTGACCTATGTCCAAGTTGCTTTTATTCAAAGGCTGCTGTCTCATTGTACGACCCCAGAATAAAGATATTACAAAGAAGAAGGGTGTCAGGCCAGGTGCGTTGGCTCATACCTGCAATCCCAGCACTTTGGGAGGTCAAAGCAGGAGGATCACTTGAGGCCAAGAGTTTGAGACCGGCCTGGACAACATAGCAAAACTCCTCTACATAAAAAATAAAAAATTTGCCAGACTCGGTGGCTTAGCCTGTAATTCCGCGCTTTGGGAGGCCGAGGTGAGTGGATTGCCTGAGACCGCGGGTTCAAGACCCACCTGGGCAACTTGGTGAGACCTCATCTCTACAATAAATCAAAAAATCAGCTGGGCGTGGTAGTGCGCGCCTGTAGTTCCAGCTACTTGGAAGACTGAGGCAGAAGGATCGCCGGAGTCCAGCAGGTCAAGGCTGCGGTGGCCGGAAGCAGCCACTGCACTCTAGTCTGGGCAACAGAGTGAGACTCCAACTCAAGAAATAAACAAAAATAAATAAATAAAATAAATAAAAAATTAGCCAGCTGTGGTGGTGTGTGCCTGTAGTCCCAGGTGCTCTGGAGGCTGAGACAAGAGAATAGCTTGAGTCCAGGAGTTGCATGCTGCAGGGAGGTATGATTGTGCCACTGCACTCCAACCTGGGCACCTGAATGAGGCCCTGTCTCTAAAAAAACAAAAAATAGTGTCAGCTCTTGGCGGTCCCTTGGCCTCCTCTCCCATGCTTCTATTTGAGCGTCTTAGAGGCCTTGGCACTGCACTTTTAGACGCTACTCTCCACGGTTCTCTGAGTGGTGCCCTTCCCCCATACAATTTCCTAGCTCTTTGCCTTACTGGTCGCAGCACCTTGAGTGCTGAGTGGACGCCCATCGCTTATCAGTGATACACAGACTTGCTTCTGTGGCCCACATGCGCCTTGCACAGATTTCCCAAAGTTTGAAGAGCACTAATCCTATAAGACAATCTGAGAAAAGACAGACAGAAAAAAAAAAAACTCCTGGTTAAATAAGCGTGGGAAATGCTGTGCTGGAAATCTCTGAAGGCTTTGTGAAGGCCCATAGTAGGAATGTGTTTCGGTTTGGTTAAGCTGCGGCTTCCAAACGTTCAACGTGTTTTGTGGCAACTGTATGTCAGTTTTTCCATAAGAGCTATTCACTCCCACAGAACTCCACAAAACCCACTTTGAGAAATCTCAGCCAAGATGATGTCCCAGTTGTCTGGGATGGGCTACACTGTAATACATTTTTCTGGATGTCAACCCAGCCTAAATTGCATCTTCCTCAGGCATGCTTTTTTATTATAAAGATAATATACCCCATTTCAAAACGTATGTGGAATAGAGAATTATTTTTAAATGTACATAATTCCAAAGTCAAACACAGCTGTGCTACAGAAGTTCTTAACCTTCATAATATCCACAGATAAAATTTAAGGAGTCCATCAACATAAATGCAAAAAACATTACATCTTTATTTTCATTAGCCTCTAGCTGAAATGTAGCCCCTTCTCTGATTATAAATGCTGGATACAAACCACAGTAACATAGACAGTACCTATGTCGTTGTCACCAATAGAAATGACAGATTTTTTTCTTATTATTCCACAGTTGTTGCTAATATCTTCAAAAATTATTTATGCTCATTATAGCTTCAAAAACATGACTTGACCTAGCACTGTATGTGTTTACTATGTTAATAAAGAAATGTATATATTTTAATAGTGCAAATTTGTTCTTGTGACATTTGATAACTGTATTTCTGCATTACTTCCTTTGCAATCATTTTATTTTATCCATTTAAGACATCACTCTGGCCAGGCTTGGTGACTCAGCCTGCAATCCCAGCATTTTGGGAGGCTGAGGTGAGTGGATTGCCTGAGCCCATGGGTTTGAGACCAGCCCCGGCAACTTGGTGAGACTTCGTCTCTACAATAAACAAATAAATAAATTGACCAGGCATGGTAGCCCATGCCGGTAGTTCCAGCTACTTGGAAGGCTGAGGCGGAAGGATCCCAGAGCCCAGCAGGTTGACGCTGGGGTGGCTGTGAGTGTGCCACTGCACTCCAGCCTGGGCGACAGAGTGAGACTCCAACTCAAAAAAAAAAAAAAAAAAAGAACACATCATTCTGAGAAGGGACCCTACCTCACTAGATGAGCAGAGGCGTCTGTGACACAAAAACAAGTCAAGATCCCCTGCTGTATTAGCATTTAAAAATTTGGCTTTTTTTATGAAGGTCATTTTATATCATTAAACTTCATATATTATATATATGTAAAACAAAGAACACAGGATTATATGTATATTTACATAGTGTATGCATTTACATGAATAGATACTATATACGAGGTCCAACAATTAGGTTGGTGAACCACCCTAGAAAAAGTGCTACATACTTCATTGCTGAATATCACTGTGGTCACCTTTGAAGTACTCCCCTTTGGAAGCTATGCACTGACAGTGGTGCCAGTTCCACCTGTCAAAGGAATTTTGGAACTCTTTCTGGAATGGCTGTCAGAGCTATCCTCATTATTTGTGGGGGTCTGACAATTAAGTTTGCGAACTTGCCACCGTGTGCTTTTGATGACAGCACTGTGCAATTCGCCAAATTGGAACACCCTCCCTACTCACCTGATCTGGACCCAAATGACTTATTTCTTTATTCAAAGGTGAAGAAAATACTAAAAGGAAGACAGTTGATGACATTCAGGATATCAGGGGTAATATGATCACGGCTCTGATGGCCATTCCAGAAAGAGAGTTCCAAAGTTGCTTTGACAACTGGACTAGGCACTGGCGTGGGTACATAGCTTCCCAAGGGGAGTACTCAAAAGTGACAGTAGTGATATTCAGCAATGAAGTATGGAGCACTTTTTCTAGGATGAATTCGCATCCTTGTCAGAACTCATATGTACATGCATACATTATCTATTAAAATAGATGCACATGACTGGGCTCGGTGGCTCAGCCTGTAATCCCAGCACTTTGGGAGGCTGAGGTGAGTGGATTGCCTGAGCCCGTGGGTTCGAGACCTGCCTGGGCAACTTGGTGAGACCTCATCTCTGCAATAAATCAAAAACTAGCCAGGCGTGCTAGTGTGCACCTGTAGTTCCGGCTACTTGGAAGGCTGAGGCGGAAGGATCGCCAGAGCCCAGCAGGTCGAGGCTGCAGTGGCCAGAAGTGGCCACTGCACTCCAGTCTGGGTGACAGAGTAAGACTCCAACTCAAAAAACAAAACAAAAAGAAACCCATAAAATAGATGCACATATATACAAGGCTGTATATATGTGTGTTCATAAATATTCTATTCCATATATAGATATATAATATATTCAATAAATGGATATTATTTCTTCACGTTTCATTCTCTCAACCAGACAGACCATTGTTTACTGTCCCTATTCTTCTAATGCCAGACTTTTAGGTTTTTCCTGTTTTTAGTTCACTCAAGGAGCTTTCCCTGTATCTCAGATTATTTCCTGATGCTAGGTTCCCAGACCGTATGACATTTATGCTGTCACCCACAGGAATTAATTCCAGGAGAACATGGAAGCATGTGACCTCCCAGTCCACACACATCACGTGTCTTAAAGTTTCTAACCTGTTTTGTTCATCTGATGTATGGTTCAGATAAAGTCTATTGAAAAAACTTATTAAAACCAACAACCTTTCTTTTGGTCTCTTTGACAATAGGAATTCCAACATTTTTTTCAAGATCAGAGGCCTGTAGATATTCTTTTAGGAAAGAAAAAAAAATCTTAGTAGAGATTCACCTTCCAAAAATGGATGGGCTGGTTCACTTCTTCAGGGGAGTGTTCAAAGCACTGAAGGTTTCTCTTAGAGGGGTTGCCCGGGGAAACCTGGCTAGCTGGACACCACACAGAGTTCTTGTGGTTGTTTATAAAACCTCCAGTATTCTCCCCATAGGAATGCTGACATTTGTTCAAGTATTGACATTACATTTCAAGTAAACCTAGATTTTTTTTTCCTCTCTGAAAAGGAGCAAAATAGATTCAGCTACTTTTAATGTCTGTGGTAAGCATCAGGGAGTCATTTTATTCTTTTTCTTTTCTTTTTATTTCTTTTATTCATTTATTTATTTCTGAGTCCAAGTCTCACTCTATCGCCCAGGATAAAGTGCAGTGGCCGGATCATGCCTCTCCACAGCCTCGACTTCCTGGGCTCAGGCGTTCCTTCCACTTCAGCCTCTCAAGTAGCTGAAACTATAGGCATGCATCACCATGCCCGGCTAATTTTTTGACTGTTTGTAGAGACAAGGTTTCACTGTGTTGTCCAGGCTGGTCTCGAACTCCTGGCCTCAAGTAATTCTCCCACCTTGGCCTCCCAAAGTACTAGGATTACAGGTGTGTGCCACCGCATCTGGCCAGGGGATCTTTTTGATTGTTATAAATGGAAGTTCAGTAGCTTGGCATCTGCAGTGTCTAACTATTGTTATCTTAAACAGGCTCACCAGTTAGCGTTTATGCAGGCGCAGGCTTATAACGGCGGGAATACCAACCCCCCACCTGCAAGTAACGAGGAAGAAGAAGAGGAAGAGGATGAATATGATTATGACTATGAATCCCTTTCTGATGGTAAGAGAACCAGATCCCTACACTGTGCGCGGGGCAGCACTCCGGTGATTGTTAACATTTTTCTTCTCAGATAAGCCTGGAGCTCCAGAGACCAACAATTCAGATTGTTGTACTCTTGTCCGAAAGTTTCTGAATCCAGTCACTTAGCAAGGAAAGGGATTCTGTGGGTCACCCTGCACCGCTCAAGGAAAGAGGAGATGGGAGAGGGGACGACACGGGATCACTCCTAAGATGGGTCTGCAGAGGAAGGGATGGAATGACAGCAGAGAAACCCCACGTTCACCCTTTCCTTTCCTGGTATGGCTGATACTCTTGGCAGGAATTGTTGACGGTGGCCACGCCCTTCTCTGTCCTGCGCGGCTCGCAGGAGGCAGCATCATGGCCCTGTGAGCTCCACTTCCTCCTCCCACTCTCATTCCAACGTTTCCTCTCCAGTGTGGTGGTTGTTGTTATTATTGTCAGAGTCTCCCTCTGTCGCCCAGGCTGGAGTGCAGTGGCAGGCCCATGGCCACCGCAGCCTTCACCTCCTGGGCTCAGGGAGCCCTCCTGCCTCAGCCTTCCAAGTAGCTGGAAGCACAGGTGTGCATCACCACACCCGGCTAATTTTTTGATTTATTGCAGAGATGAGGTCAAGTCAAGTGGCCCGGGCTGGTCTCAAACCCCTGGGCTCAGGCAGTCCTCTCACCTCCACCTCCCAAAGTTTGGGATCACAGGCATGAGCCACCATGCCCGACCCTGGTACTCATATTATAAAGTGGACAGGATGTTTCCTTCTGTCCCACCAAAAAGAAAAAAACACGGGTGATGGCTGATGACGCAATACAAAAAAGTCACACGAATGATGTTGACTACAGGTTACTAGTGAAGGATTCTTCTCACATGAGAAGTGGTTTAAAGTGTGTTTCATTTGCACGAAATCAGCGTCATTTGCTGGATTTCGCAACATTTTTTCTCAGGTGCCTTGCTGATAGCAGACTGTTTCATTTTGGCAACTTCTGAAAGACAATACAGTAATGAGAAAATGCCACGGTTCCTGCTTATAGGAATGTTGTATTTACAGGCTATATTGTTTCTATGTAGAATGAATATGCTAAATATGCAGATTTGGCCAGCCCAGCAACCATTTGCCAGCGGCATTATAAAACAATTGAGCCACGCCCCTCCGAGCAAGTATTTGCTTCTCACACTCACAGTATGGTTCCATTCTATGAGCTTCCATCACTACTTACACTGCAGTCTCTGTCTGCCCCCACAGATAATACCGGACTGTGTCCACTTAATATTTGTTTTTAGTAATAGTTGATTGCTTCATACCATCAATTAAAAGCCAGTTTGCTTGACCTGAAGCCCCATGAGCTAAAACGAGGGGTATATCTCATCAGATAGCAACTAAGAGAGGAAAAAATTAAAAGGAGTCGAGACCTTGTCTTTGCATTACATTCCTGAAAAGTCATGGGAACGTGTATATTTTTTTACTGACTTATTCTTCCCCATGGACTTCTACTAGAGTTGTGGTGATGTCCCATAGAAGAACAAATTGATTCCGTTATGAAATGAAAACCACACATAAGAAATCAACCAGGCTGGGTTCGGTGGCTCAGCCTGTCATCCCAGCACTTTGGGAGGCCGAGGCGAGTGGATTGCCTGAACCCGAGGGTTCGAGACCAGCCCGGGCAACTTGGTGAGCCCTCGTCTCTACAATAAAAATCAAAAATTAGCCAGGCGTGGTAGCGCGCACCTGTAGTTGAGCTACTTGGAAGGCTGAGGTGGAAGGATTGCCAGAGCCAGCAGTTCGATGCTGGGGTGGCCGTGAGTGTGCCACTGTACTCCAACCTGTGCGACAGTGAGACTCCAACTCAAAAAAAAAAAAGAAAGAAAGAAAAGAAAATAGAAACCTGCCCTCTGTGGGGAGCTCCATTTTCAGCTTCCTAGAGGGACCTCAAGGGTTTCTAAGCTTCTTATAATGCTGGGTCCCTTTGAGAAGTAGATAGAAGTTGTGACCCGCTCCCTCCAGGAAATAAAACATGCTCTCAAACTGCTGCCTACAATTGCAGAGGTTTCAAGCCTCAGGTTTCAGGAGCTCATCTTTAAAATCAAGGTGTCCAGTTTATCTCTGTGATAAACTGTAGTCCTCAGTCTTCCCGTCCATAAAATGAGTGACTTAATCTATCACCCCTTTTGGCTATAAAATAGGAGGTGATGCCTACCCACAGCAAAATTGCAAGAAAACTCTAAGGAAGTTGCAGGTGACAGCTATGTATTTTAGGAATTTCTATTCTGCCTTTTAAGTTATAAATTCTTTTTCTTTCTTCCTTTTATTTTTTTTTTTGAGTTGAAGTCTTACTCTGTTGCCCAGGCTGGAGTGCAGAGGCACACCCCAGCATCAACCTGCTGGGCTCAGCGATCCTTCCGCCTCAGCCTTCCAAGTAGCCAGAACTACAGGCGTGCGCTACCACGCTCGGCTAATTTTTTGATTTATGGTGGAGACAAGGTCTCACCAACTTGCCAGGGCTGGTCTTGAACCTGCGGGCTCAGGTAATCCACTTGTCTGGGCCTCCCAAAGTGCTGGGATTACAGACTGAGTCACTGAGCCCAGCCTTTTTTTTTTTTGAGTTGAAGTCTCACTCTTGCCCAGGCTGGAGTGCAGTGGCATAATCATGGTTCACTGCAGCCTCAACCTTCTAGCTCAGTTGATTCTTCCACCTCTACCCACTGGAGTAGCTGGGACTACATACAGGCATGCACCATCACACCCAGTTTATTACTTTTTTATTTTTTGTGGAGACAAAGTATCACTATGTTGCCCAGGCTGGTCTTGAACTCCTGGGCTCAATCAATCCTCCTGCCTTGGCCTCCCAAAGTGTTAGGACTATGGGCGTGAGCCACCACACCCAATCAATAAATTCTTAATGAATATTTATTTCATTGAATTTAATGAAATGAATGAATTTAATTAAATAAATATAGATTTTTCTCCCAACCTGGTTGTTTACCTTGTGTCTAGTTTTGAACACACATTGGAGCACAGACTTGAATTTACAACTTAGTGTAGGTATATTCTGTGACAATGATTGCATGATTCTAACAAATTAATCGACGTCTGTCCACTCGAAATAAATCCTTTGGGAGTAGTACCACATTCAGTCACTGAAAATATGTAGCATGAACGTGACAGCCCTTGGCATGACTCTTGTGGACATTATTTGCATTTCTTTTCTTGCCAACGCTGGCGTCTCTTAACAGTCAACATATCAAGTCAACAGAACATTTCTTATTTCATTTATCTTGTAACCTCAGCTGCTGTTCTTTATGCTCTGCTTTGTGTCTTTGTTTAATTTATCTGGCATTTTGTCTTAATCCTCCCTACTTTTATCCCTTTCTGATTCTGTTTTTCTCTAGCAGATGTCCTCACTGCCTTCCCCGCTCCTAATGGTCAGGAAGGTAAACACCATTTAAACTGGGCATTGTAACTGCATGGATGTCACCATTCTGTCTGCAATATCTTGGGCCTGATTAGCATGAAGTTGTGACACTTCTATAAATATGAATGTAATGAAATGATTCATGCCGTTTATTCCTTGGTGGGCTGCATGGCCCTGATTTGGTACCAGGGTATTCTGGTCTAAGCATTTGTGCTCTGATTGTAATAAATCTCGAGGGAGAAATTAGCTATCTTGTTATTCATTTTAATAGATCGTAATTGGGATCTATGTCTATAACATCTTTAGGGTCATTCTGAATGGAAATGCCAAAAAAAAAAAAAAAAGACAAAGTGTAAGATTATTTCTCATGCTTAGATAGATTTAGATATATTTTAATTTCTGTTCTTAAGATCATCACTCAATAAATTAATGACAATCCTGAAAACTTTCCTTTCCAATGAACTGTAATTGTGAAAGCTTTGTGCTGCTTATAACGATGTCTTTTTCTCTTCTGGCTTTGTCATTTCTCAAGGTAAAAGAAGTAAATATCTTCATTTCAAAGTAAGAGTGATTAAATCATGCATCTACCATCTAGCAATGCTGCAGTCACTAAATCCTTCCCAAATGTGTGTGCTGTCAGCTTCTTGGCACAGAATATTTTCCATAATGTTCGCACAGTTCTCGTTATCTGTATGAAAATGAGCATCTTCATTTAGACAATGTCTATCTGGTACCAAAATTATTGGGAAACGAGCCAATTAAATGGAAAATAAATCCATCACCCGATTTTTAACATGATGCTTCAAGCCACCCTTTTGGTGGCATGTAGCCAGAGCCTCGTTCTTGCAGATAAGGACAAGTACCTGGATGTCCTCGTACTGCTGTACATGTAGCCCTTATGTGAAGCAGTTGGTTCTTTTTTACCGAAGCCTTGTCACTCCTTTTCAGACAACATTCTGGAAGACAGACCTGAAAACAAGTCATGCAATGACAAGCTTCAGTTTGAGTACAATGAAGAACTCCCTAAGAGGATAAAGAAAGCCGATCACTCCGCTTGCAACAAAGGAAAGGTGGGTGAAGGGTTTCTGCTCCAGGACACTTGTACCATGGTATGCTTGTCAGTTTCAGAGGGGATTCCATTTCTACCCATCCCTCCCCTTCCCCTTTCCCTCACTTTCCCAGAAATGCCAAAGTTCACGTGGTGATATTATGGGACAGCCACCTTCCATTTATAGCAGGTTAGCCATCGATGAATCCAACCAACACCTTCTTAAGGGGCGTGTGTGTGTGTGTTTTAGTGGTGTTCAAGGGGCACCCCAAAAAAGAAACAGAATTAGTTTTTGGAGGGCAGGCTCCTTGTAGTATAGGCTTCCCCACTTGGTAAGTACTCTAAGAAACCATTAGTAAGCTGGGCTCGGTGGCTCAGCCTGTAATTCCACGCTTTGGGAGGCTGAGGTGAGTGGATTGCCTGAGCCTGAGGGTTCGAGACCCGCCTGGGCAGTGAGACCTCATCTCTACGATAAATCTAAAAATCAGCCGGGCGTGGTAGTGCATGCCTGTAATTCCGGCTACTTGGAAGGCTGAGGCGGAAGGATCGCCAAGCCGAGGTGGAAGGATCGCCGGAGCCCAGCCGGTCGAGGCTGCGGTGGCCAGGAGCGGCCACTGCACTCCAGTCTGGGCGACAGAGTGAGACACCAACTCAAAAAAAAAAAAAAAAAAACCATTAGTATCAGTATTCCAGCCAGCATTGTTGTGAGAGGCTGTGTTTGGTTTCAGTGAAAATTTTTTTGGAGTCTTTCAACGCGTTTGCCCATTTCATGATGGGTGATTTACAAACATACCTGCCCACACCACGCTGAATGTTCAGCAGTTTTTGACCAAAAACTCTATGACTCCTGTACACCACCCTTCCTATTCACCTGATCTCACCCCAAGTGACTTTTTTTTTGTTTTGTTTTCCCCTGATGAAAAAAGTCCAGTCCTCGAAGGGAAATGTTTTGCCAATATGGAAGAGGTGAAACAAAAAATGGCAGAAGCATTAAAAGACATCAAAATCGATGAGTTCAGAACTGTTTGAGTGGCATAAAAAGCAACCTGATAGGTATATTGCATCAAACAGAGTGTTCTTTGACGGTGACTGAAGTTTAAGCATGCAAAAATAAATACACAATTTTTTATAAATAAATTCCAGAGAGGTTTTTTTTTGGATTCCCCCTTGTAACCAATGCTATAGATCAGTGAAAAGAACAGTGATTGCCCTATATTATCAGAGAATCCAAGACAGCCTCTCAGGAAAGATGATGTCTGAGAAGGAAGATTGGGCCAAGCAGACAAACACCAAACACAGCACCTTCAGGCCAAGAGGACAGCCTGGTATGTTCAGGGAATCGCAAGAAGTTTTAAAGACACTGGGATGACTGAGATACTTTACAGATTGTAAAGTGTCAGCTAAGTGATGATGCTAAAACTAGAAAGATAAATGTGATACCCAGCCCCCAACCCTCAAGTACCTCTCAGTACATAGACTCTGAGAAAATCCGTAGACATAGTTGGAGGTGACGTTGTTGGAGAATAGTATGATAAAATAGGCCAAAAATTGGAGTCACAGAAGACACACAATCCCTTTTACTTAACAAAGGTGCATTGATTGTTCTACTTATAAGACCATGTGCTGAGGGAAGATGAAGGATGACCTAGACTTATCCCTTGCCCTCTGAAAGTTTTTACTCTAAGATAGTGGTCCCAACCTTTTTGGCATCGGGGACCTGTTTCATGGAAGATAATTTTTCCAGGGATGGGGACAGGTCATCAGGCATTATATGCTTATAAGAAGCATGCAACCTAGATCCCTCACATGTGTACGTGTTCAGTTCACAGTAAGGTTCACAGTTCCGTGAGAATCTAATGCCACCACTAATCTGACAGAAGATGGAGCTCCGCTCACCTGCCGCTCACCTCCTGCCATGCTGCCTGGTTCCTAACAGGCCACCAACGTGTCTGCAGCCCCAGGGGTTGGGGACCTCTGCTCTAAGAGAGTCGTTAGGACGTGTATCTGGCTAATTACCAAGCAAGGGAAAACACTCTGATGACTCAAGAGACGTACAGGCAAAGGGCTTTGGGAATTCAGAGGTGGGTGGCAACATCGCTCCCATGTAAACGGGTGTCATTTTCCCTTGATAGGTTTATGACATGGAACTGGGAGAAGAATTTTATCTTCCTCAGAACAAAAAGGAAAGCAGACAGATTGCACCAGAGCTCTCTGACCTTGTCATCTATTGCCAAGCAGTAAAATTCCCAGGTAAGGGTAGATGATATCCTCTGCAACACTTAAAGATACCAAAGGAGAACAATATGACATCTGTTTAATTGGGCACTGTGAACACTTAACACTAGCAAAATTGTTTGGCTGAAATCACTGTTATAGCATGTTTTTAATATTTTGGATTATAATTTGCTTTGATATTCAGGAAAAATACCATAAAATATTCATTTTCCAGATCACATCATGTCTCTGTATAATAGTAATAATGAGAATTATAATAATATTCACCGTATTTATAATATGTATGAAGTACTTAAGTGCTAGGATTTGTGTTAAGCATTTTGCATGCATCATCTTGTTGACTATTTGTTTATTTTATATTAGAAAATATAGTTTGTTTAGAAAGTAAACTTGAGACAGAGAGGGGAACTTTGCCTCCCTAAGGTAGGGGAGGGGGCCAAAGCCAGGAAACATGGCCTTTTTTGACTATTTATAATGTTTATAATGATTCTATGAGGTAGGTGGTATTAACCCCATTTTTACATTTATTTATTTATTGAGTTGAAGTCTCACTCTGTCGCCCAGGCTGGAGTACAGTGGCAAGCTCTCATGGCCACCCCAGCGTCAACCTGCTGGGCTCCGGCAATCCTTCCGCCTCAGCCTTCCAAGTAACTGGAACCACAGGCGCGCGCCACCACACTCCAGCTAATTTTTGATTTAATGTGGAGACGAGGTCTCGCCACGTTACCCAGGCTGATCTCGAACCTGTGGACTCAGGCAATCCACTTGCCTTGGCCTCCCAAAGTGCTGGGATGACAGGCTGAGCCACCGAGCCCACCAACCCCATTTTTAAATAAAACAAATCTCAGAGAGAAGAAGTGATTTGGCCAAGGTTTCTGGGTACTTCAGTTTAGAATCTTTTGTGTGAAGATGACAGAAATTGACTTAAGCCAAGAGGGAAACATATTGGCTCATGTGTTGAAAAAGAAGATACCCAAGTTCCAGGTATAGCTTGACCAAGGCACATGCTTTCTCTCTCCCCACGTCTCGTTCTGCTGCCATGGTGTTGGCTCCATTCCTTTTATGGTTGCAGAACGGCTGTAGCAGCCTAGTAGTATAAGCTTGCCATCCTGCATCAGTTAAAAGTTTGTTCCAGAACTTCCAGTCAGAGTTCCATTACTTCTTATTGGGTCCTTGGCCCAGGCCTTACTCAATCACCATGGCCAAGGGGTGCAGTGCTCTGGAGCCTATGTCACATGGTCCATGCCTGAGCTGGGCAACAAGGCTCCACCCATACCACAGAACCAAGGATGGAGTCCCCTGTTGGCCATTTCTAGAAATATATTCAATTTAGGCTGATGAACCACTTCCCCAAAACAATGTTCATTTCCGTTAATACATGGGAGACCTATGACTCTGAAGCCAGTCTGTCTCCAAAGTCCTGCCCTAAGCCATTATACTACCCCGCCTCTTGTGTAAGGCTATGTTATCAGTGAGCACACCCAGTGATGTGTCCCACAGGTAGGGCACACGGGGGGGGGGGGGGGGGGGGGGGGGGGAGAGCAAACAGGGAAGCCCATAAACACATGGACCTCAGAATAATTCATCTCCTCCCACTAAGAAAAAGAATTTCTTTGCACAAAATGTATGAGGACAGGCCGGGCTCGGTGCCTCAGTCTGTCATCCCAGCACTTTGGGAGGCCGAGGTGTGTGGATTGTCTGAGTCCGCAGATTCAAAACCAACCCTGGGGCAACTTGGCAAGACCTCAACTCTACAATAAATCAAAATTAGCCGGGTATGGTGGCGCACACCTGTAGTTCCGGCTCCTTGGAAGACTGAGCCTGAAGGATCGCTGGAGCCCAGCAGGTCGACGCTGGGGTGGCCATGAGCATACCACTGCACTCCAGCCTGGGGGAGGGAGTGAGACTCCGACTCAAAAAAAAAAAAAAAATGTATGCGGATAAGACAGTGGCTGATTCTAAAGGATCGGTCTAAATGTAAGTAAGCAGGGTGTCTCAGTCCGTTTTGCATTGCTATAAAGAAATACCATAATCCCGCACCTTTGGGAGGCCGAGGTGAGTGGATTGCCTAAGCCCACGGGTTCGAGACCTACCTGGGCAGTAAGACCTCATCTCTACAATAAATCAAAAAATCAGCCGGGCGTGGTAACGCATGCCTGTAATTCTGGCTTGGAAGGCTGAGGCGGAAGGATCGCCGGAGCCCAGCGGGTCGAGGCTGTGGTGGCCAGGAGCGGCCACTGCACTCCAGTCTGGGCGGCAGAGTGAGACACCAACTCAAAAAAAAAAAAAGAAATACCAGAGGCTGGGTCATTTATAAAGAAAAGAGATTTATATGTTTCGTGGTTCTGCATGGTGCTGGCATCTGCTTCTGGCAAGGCCTCAGGAAGCTTACAGTCATAGTGGGAGGCAAGGGGGAGCAGGCATGTCACATGCGAGAATGAAAGTCAGAAACAGAGAGAAGGACGTTCCAGGCTCTTCTAAACAATCAACCCTCTTGTGAGTTCATTGAGCAAGAACTCATTACCATGAGAACAGCTCCGGGCCATTCATGGGATTCTGCCCTCATGACACAATCTCCTTCCACTAGGCCCCACTTCCAACACTGGGGACCTCATTTCAATATGAGATTTGGGGGGGTCCATGATCCAAACTATATCACAGGGTATATAAACGTGGCCTGGAGAGAGGCATTCAAATGCCAACCCTCATCCTATCAAGATGGACTGAAATCAAGTCCTGGTTCCCGAATGTGTCTTAAGCACCTAATCTCACACTGTGCCTGATAAGCCAGAGGTATTGGGCTGTTTAAAAGTTAGATGTCGTGCCTATAGGCCCCACTACTCAGGAGGCTGAGGCAGGAGAAATGTTTGAGTCCAGGAGTTCGAGGCCAACCTGGGCAACATACATAGCGAGACTGTGTCTCTACCAAAAAATAAAAATTAAATTGAAAACATTTAAGCCGGGCTTGGTGGCTCAGCCTGTAATCCCGCGCCTTTGGGAGGCTGAGGTGAGTGGATTGCCTGAGCCCACGGGTTCGAGATCCACCTGGGCAGCGAGACCTCATCTCTACAATAAATTTAAAAAATCAGCCGGGCGTGGTAGTGCACGCCTGTAGTTCCGGCTACCTGGAAGGCTGAGGCGGAAGGATCGCCGGAGCC